AAGTTTTGTGAATTTTGTTGTTTTTATGTCATTACATTGGTTGGAGCATAAGAAACAAATTGAGAAAAAACATTTTTGAAAAAAATATATTTCATTCCTATTTTATTCTATGTCCTTTGTAGAGGACACCAGGTTTTTCAAAAAAAAAAAAAAAAAAAAGACATGAAAAGACACGTATGGGCAAAAACAATGTTTTAAGCTGAAACCTAAACATTGTTTTAGGCAATGTTTAGGTTTCAGGCTATTTTTGACCAAACTTTGTGCAAAGATGATTCTTAACTGTTATAAAAAGATAACAGAATGATTTGATATATTATTTTACTTCATGCAATATGTGCGTAAAATGTCCATAGATTGGTATTACCATTCTATACAATGTATCTATTTTAATGAAAAAAGAAGTGCTATAATGGGAGTAACAACTTTTCATAAAAATATCGAATATTTCATAGGAATATTGATCTATAATTTCTTTCCCTGTTCTTTCCCTATTAACCCCAAAATGCCTGATTAACATGATGTTTGTCCTGGTGTCCTCTACAGAAGACGTGTATGAAAATTATGCCCTGTTTCGTAACAAAAAGTCATATTCCGATTCGAAACTGCATAACATTTTTTCTGAGATGTTTATTAACGACAAACAATTAGTCAGATTTAAATTATAATTACAAAACATTATCATATTTCTCTAAGAGTGCTAAATTTGATCATACTGTCAGTATTAGTCATTTTTAAAGACCAAGGAAAGGGAGTGTTTATGATCAAACCTCCAAACTTTTGATATCTCTAAAAAGCCCTGAATGTGCTCTGTAGGACATCCAGACTGGATGAAAAAAACTGTGGCATGTATGGTCTCAGAGAAATTCACTAAAATATGATGTCCTTTACAGCGTCTATGCCAAGGAGGATATGGGAAAAGAATACAATTATACTTCTTACCCTATTTGGGAGATATAATATACATAAATCAAGATATATGTCAGCATAGGCTATTTTCCATTGACTTAAATATTTAATGATTCTTTAATTTTTAGTTGCAAGATGAATGAATCCCCATGTCTTACACTGTTGGGATTTCAATTAAAAAATACTGGAAAAGAACTTGTAGAGACCTGAAAAGAATACAAAAAATGACATGTTGTAATAAATGAAGACTTGTAAGTTAGGACTCCAAAAGTGACTTTAGCTGTGAAACAGGGGTTTTCAATCAATCTGATGCCAGGGAGCCCTAAATATGATGATCCTTTGCATGAGACCCTCTTCCTAAAATAGACAGCTAAATATTTTATTGTATAAAGAATATGCTATGTGATAAAAAGTGATATTAGTATTATTATATAAAAAAAAACATGTTCTTTGCTAAATTAAACCGTAGGTTGTGTGTTGTCATTGTGTTAAAAACCAAAAGAAATAATGAAAATAGTATGATTCTAAAATAATCCAGGAAATATTCACTTTGTGAACAGTGTATATTTTACCGACTCCAGCTTACTGAATTCAGTTTCAATTATACTTTTAAAAAAAGCTTATTAAATGTGTAACAAAATGCATAATAGAAATACACATAAAAAAAACATAAAAAGGTGTAAAAAGACATAAAAAGGTGGTGCTAGCTTTCATTTATTAGTCATTTCAAAAACACTACTGACAAGTTTTACTGGGAGTGCAGACAACAGAAAGCCATTCTTTTTTTGATTAAACTTGATCTGGGCGAGGAAAGAGAAATTGTCACGGTGTGCCTACTGTGAAGGAGTGAGGAGACGAAGGAGCAAGGAGACGAAGGAGAATCCAGAATCATCACAGACTTTATTTCACATTCAAAGAAAACCACACGTAGGACACGGAGATAGACGATCAATACCAGACAGGAAACAAGGGGTAGAACACACTTTATATACTAGACTAGAGGAGGGACACAATGAGGAACACCTGAAATCAATAACCAATCAACATGAGAAACACCTGGGAACAATATCAAACACAATCAACATGGGAAACCTGGGACATGGAACACGTGGGGGAGGAAAACACATGACACGGGACAGGAACCGAGTCTGACATTCTGTGGGCACTCTGGAGGTCCCTCAGGACAGACATGGGACGGCGGGCCTCCAGAGTGGTACCCGTTCGGGGCACCATGGCGGATCAGATAGTTCAGGAGGCCATGGCAGAGCAGGCAGCTCGGGGAGCCATGGCGAAGCAGACAGTTCAGGAGGCCATGGTGGAACTGGGAGCTCGGGGAGCCACGGCGGAGCAGGGAACTCAGAAGGTCATGGCTGGACAGCCTCCGTGACCTTGGCCTCGCCACTACGGACGGACCCATACTACTCCCCCCCCCAAAAAAAATCCTTGGGGAGAATATCGTCTTTAGAGGCCCTCCGTAGGCCTAACTCGGGAACTTGACTTGGGTACTGGAGCCCTCCTTGGGCTCGGCATGTGAACTGGAGCCCTTTCTGTGCTAAACTCGGGGACAGGAGCCCTCACTGGGCTAAACTCGGGGACAGGAGCCCTCACTGGGCTAAACTCGGGAACAGGAGCCCTCTTTGGGCTGAACTCGGGAACAGGAGCCCTCTTTGGGCTGAATTCAGGGGCTGGAGCCCACACTGGAGCGAGCTCTGGGGCTAGAGCCAGCCGCCTTCTCCTCCTTAGATTCCCCTTTAGGTTCGGGGTGAAAGGCGTGGTCGGCAGGCTGGAGAGAGCCGCGGCCGGCAGGCTTGACAGCAGGCTGGTTCTGGCTCAGGCACGGACACTCCCCAGACACCGGTAGATCCCTTCCCTCCAGCATAGTCCATTGGTGTCTGGGAGGTCCATGGGGCGATGGTAGTTGGCCCCGAGCCAGAACAGAGAATTGATGGTGGCGTCATCCAATGCCGTTGCCGCGGCGAACACGCAGAATTCCCAGGCGCAGGGTCGTCCTTAGCTAACGCAGGGCCCGGTGCAAGGTAGGGAGCGGGGCCCCCCTCGGTCCGTTCACGATCGCCTTCCGGTGTGTGTGTGGGGGGGGGCTGGGTTCAAGCGCGGGGCCTGGTGCACCTGCACCAGTTGCACCCCCCTAAGGACGGCCCTGCCCAGGCGTACTCGAAGAAGGGGAGATCTCTACGGGCTAGAGCAATAAAACGAGCGGCGATTTCCATGACGCGGGGAGAAACAAACGGGAAAACAAAAACACTTTCTAAAACGGAAAAAAAAAACACGGGGAGAAGAGGCGCCGCTCACTGTTTTGGTCCGGTAGTCTGTCACGGTGTGCCTACTGTGAAAGAGCGAGGAGACGAAGAAGAATCCAGAATCATCACAGACTTTATTTCACATTCAAAGAAAACCACACGTAGGACAAGGGGATAGACGACCAATACCAGACAGGAAACAAGGGGCAGAACACACTTTATATACTAGACTAGAGGAGGGACAAAATGAGGAACACCTGAAATCAATAACCAATCAACATGAGAAACACCTGGGAACAATATCAAACACAATCAACATGGGAAACCTGGGACATGGAACACATGGGGGAGGAAAACACATGACACGGGACAGGAATCGAGTCTGACAGAGATCAGTCTTGGTAATTATTTTGTGTGAAATTAATAATCTTGTCAAAGATTAATCACGCTGAACAAACTGAACCTCATATTTGCACAAATAATCTGACTTTTAAGAAGTTATGAATTAGGCTATTACTATTTGTGTTTTTAAAGGGGTCATATGATGCGATTTCAAGTTTTCCTTTCTCTGTGGAGTATTACAAGCTCTTGGTGCATAAAGAAGATCTGTTAAGTTGCAAAGACTAAAGTCTCAAATCCAAAGAGATATTCTTTATAAAAGTTAAGAGTCAACTACGCCTACCTAAAATGGCTCGTTCTAACACGCCCCCACATGTCTAAGTCACGATGTGGGAAGATTTGCATAACGCCGCCCAAATGTTCACGCAAAGAAAGAAGGCGTAACTTTTATTCTTGCTGTAGCATTGTTGCTGCTGCCGCCATGTCGTGAAGGCGCTGTATGTTTTTTTGTGAAAGCGAAACTACTTTGTTTGGTCTTCCAAAAGAGGACGATATCCGCTTTGTCATGCCTAGAACACATTAAGAGATGAAAGAAGAAAAGATTAAAGAAAATATTTGAAGGGTGAAAGAAGAAAAGAAGCAGTGGCATGTAACGATGCCTAAAACATACTATGGTTCTAAATACTCCAGAAGAGGCTACATTTTATAGGTTTATATAGAGCTAGATATGGAATCATACTTACGCTGTTTTCAAAATTATCTTACTACTAAAACTACTGAGAGGGCCTCACTCACATGCTTGAAACTACACTGAAACAAAACTGAAATCCATTTGAAAAATTCAGTCAGATCTCTGCATTCAACAGACTGGAGACAGCTTTTTAAAATTTATTTATTTATTTAGTCATTTATTAGACGCTTTTATCCAAAGCGACTTACAAATGAGGACAACAGAAGCAATCAATTGTAGTATTAAAACAACTAAAAACAGATCCAAAACTAAAAGCTAAAACTTTATAAATACTACCTATAAGCATTTTAAAAATAAAGAGATTAAATAAAAATGACAGATGCATACAACAAAATTTAAAAACTTAACATTTAAATGAAAAACAAAAAATAAAGCTAAAAACAATTCAAAATATTAAAGAACAAAAGGTATAAGAGTATAATAATGATTCTAACATAACACTAAGCCAAACACCAAAAAAAAAAAAAACTACATATGTGTATGTACAACCACACACACATATATACTGTATATGTACCATAGACTGTAAAAATGTACATACACATTTATAAATTCAATATAAGCTTTGATAAAAATAACTTTCAAAATGAATTTGTATAGATATTTTATAGGTCTTTTGTAAAATTGTCAGCGTTTTAACGTGTTTTATTACGTTTTCTAGTCTAATAATCTATTTAAATCACTGATCTATAGTCATTATATATAGATAAGTGATATTGTTTACGTGCCACGTCACTTCCTGCTTGACGCTGCTAGGAGGAAGAGCTCGAAGAAAGCAACAGAAGGGTTGAAGAAGACATGGCTGAACTGTCACTGTACCTCACAAATGTTAACGTGTCTCTTGGACAAGGTGTGGACACAGAGAAGGTAAAGTCATTTTTAAATATATTAAGTGAGTTGCCATGGAATTACATACTTTGTTTTGATATAGACGACAGTCGAGATATATCATTCTACTTCCTTGTTCGTTACATCTTAGTCTAGCGATGAAACTAGTTTGATAATAAACATAATGTAAGGCTAATTTATCTATCTGATTTAATTAATATAATATTAGAGAAATGTGATATTAAGATCTAATAATATAGTTTATGTAGGTCTATCTATCTCTCTGTAGCAGTGTGTAATGTCCTTGGTAAATAACATTTAAATGTAACGTTATACATTTATCTGCTGGTTTAGAGTTCTGCAGTGGTGAAGGAGTTTGAAAATGTTGAACTTGGAGATCTGGGCAAAAAGAAGCCAAAGATTCCTCGCAGAACAATCTACTTTGCATCTGGTGAAACCATGGAGGAGTACAGTACAGATGAAGAGGAGGAAGAACCTCCAGAGAAAGCGAAAACTTTAAGTACAAGGGATCCAGTGAGTTGCATCAAATCATTAAAAATGAAAGTGGTTTCAGTTGCTTCTTTTCTGAACATCTTCAGCTTTTGATCACTTTGCATCTCTGATTATAGTCAAAGTTGACCTGGGGTCCATACGTCTGGTTCCAAATGTGGAGAGTGGCTACCTCAACCATCTCAGGTAATGAAACTCTTTCCAGCCTGTGACATTTAGTCATACAGAAACGTCTAAACTTAACATTTCAACCCAAATATTTCAGTTTGTGACTATCTTGGAGAGAAAATGGCCTCACTGCTGGGAATCACGACACCAAAATATCAGTATGCAATTGATGAGTACTACAGGATGAAGAAAGAGGTATGTGCACCGCTATTATAATTTTACAGCCTTCACTTATTAGCCAATATTCTCAAAAGTAGCATGTACAATTATTGTTGTACATGCTTTGAGCGATTTGAACAGCTTTCGCATTGTGACACCCTAATAATGTGTAATCCGCAGGAGGAGGAAGAAGAGGAGGAGAACCATCTCTCTGAGGAGGCAGAACGTCGTTTTGAGGAGCAGCACAATCAGGACGGCCAGCAGCCAAAGATCGAGCAACCAGAAGGAACTGCTTCTTTTGTGAATGTGACCTTTGAACTGGAGCAGGAATCACATGCTATACCTGATGCAAATAAAGTGCCTGCCCCCATTCCCTCCTAAAATACTGTTCGGTTTATTGAGCATATTTGATGGTTTTTACCATATTAACCTTAGGCATGAGGTGTGTTAGGTTCCTTTTTTGGAGGGGAAAGTTTATCTTACACGAAGTTGAACATGAAGGTAACATGTATGTAACATATGCATAGCTGACAATGGTTCTGCTTAGAACGTAGAACCGTTTTAATTATCATTTTACAAAGTCATACATAAAACTACTATGGAAGCTTATTTCTAAAACGGAATAAAAAAAAAAAGAAAGTAATTGCACCTCAAAAATCACACTTTTCTTAGAATTCTGAGTGTACATCTCACAATTCTGACTTTTTTCCTCAGGATTCTGAGTTTACATCTCACAATTTTAACCTTTTTTAGAATTTTGAGTTTACATCTTGCAATTCTGTTTTTGATACTGTTTTTAGACACGTAACCTTAATTTTAAGAAGAAGAAAAACCCCTCACAATTGAAAGATATAAACTCACGATTTTGAAAAAAAGTCCTGAATTGTGAGATATAAATACACAATTGCAAGAAAAAACTCCAAATAAAAAGTCACAATTACCTTTTTTTTTAATTATTGTTCAGTGGAGATAATGTTCCATAGTCCTTACAATTCATTGTACATATAAATAATTATAAATATCTAAAAAGCCTAAGTGAAACACTATAACAACTGCATGGACTACCAATCTTTTACAATGCTGTAGAATGTGAGTACTTACAATATTAGACATTTCTGTTACTGATGATGTTGTCGAGTAAACTGTCAGATGGGATTCTTTCCTCTTTCATAAGTCAGAGCTCTTTCAGAGCTGAAACATTCAAAAAGTTATTTTTCTAACCAAATATTCTTTTTATGTGAACATATTATTTTTAGTGTGTATGTAAATGTGCGCTGTACCCATTAGATTTGAGTTCAATTTGTCTACCCCTCGGACACAAAAAAAAGCATTTCATTTTGAAGAGCGTATAATTTATTTGTGTACAATAATTTTGTATTATGTAGGTGAAAACATACCGTTCTATAATGTAGGGTGAAAAAATACAGTTTGTTTTGTACATAATATTACTTAATAAACAATTCAACATACAACTGAGCTATTCTGTATATTCCTCTTGGCTGAAGTTTTTTTCCTCGTTCGGAGTAGCACAATTGGTCCAATAGCACAACTTGATTTGGCAACAGAACGTGATGTCATCATGGGTCATCTAAATCAGCTGTGTTGCTGTCAGTGTCATTAGCCACCAGCACCTCTCTGTTCTCGTAAGTCCAGAAGCCATTGAGGTCGATGAGGATACTAGTGACAGTGTCACCCTGACCGCTGTTCACAAGGTCCTGTAGTGTGATCTTATAAGGATCTTTAGGCTTCACCATGTCAAAGATTTCATCCTGTATACACAAACATTTGATCACCATTTCATGACCCAAAACGCCCAAAAGGGTCTGGCTGCAGACGCTTGCATTCTCAGACTTGCACTCTCAGACACTTGCACTTCCGCTAGCGACGTCACTTGCAGTCTTTATTTTTTTTATTTTGTTCTATGTATTTATTCTTTTTGTTTGAATCTCTCAACATTTTACAACAGTAGCCAGGTGGTGAAGACAACCATAGTCCTTAGTCACTACAACAATTCATTGTACATATAAATATCTAAAAAGCCTAAGTGAAACACTATAACAACTGAATGGACTACCAATCTTTTACAATGCTGTAGAATGTGAGTACTTACAATATTAGACATTTCTGTTACTGATGATGTTGTCGAGTAAACTGTCAGATGGGATTCTTTCCTCTTTCATAAGTCAGAGCTCTTTCAGAGCTGAAACATTCAAAAAGTTATTTTTCTAACCAAATATTCTTTTTATGTGAACATATAATTTTTAGTGTGTATGTAAATGTGCGCTTTACCCATTAGATTTGAGTTCAATTTGTCTACCCCTCGGACACAAAAAAAAGCATTTCATTTTGAAGAGCGTATAATTTATTTGTGTACAATAATTTTGTATTATGTAGGTGAAAACATACCGTTCTATAATGTAGGGTGAAAAAATACAGTTTGTTTTGTACATAATATTACTTAATAAACAATTCAACATACAACTGAGCTATTCTGTATATTCCTCTTGGCTGAAGTTTTTTTCCTCGTTCGGAGTAGCACAATTGGTCCAATAGCACAACTTGATTTGGCAACAGAACGTGATGTCATCATGGGTCATCTAAATCAGCTGTGTTGCTGTCAGTGTCATTAGCCACCAGCACCTCTCTGTTCTCGTAAGTCCAGAAGCCATTGAGGTCGATGAGGATACTAGTGACAGTGTCACCCTGACCGCTGTTCACAAGGTCCTGTAGTGTGATCTTATAAGGATCTTTAGGCTTCACCATGTCAAAGATTTCATCCTGTATACACAAACATTTGATCACCATTTCATGACCCAAAACGCCCAAAAGGGTCTGGCTGCAGACGCTTGCATTCTCAGACTTGCACTCTCAGACACTTGCACTTCCGCTAGCGACGTCACTTGCAGTCTTTATTTTTTTTATTTTGTTCTATGTATTTATTCTTTTTGTTTGAATCTCTCAACATTTTACAACAGTAGCCAGGTGGTGAAGACAAGACAAAAGAAACTAAATTACGAAGTCACTTGCAATCGCCACTTGCACTCTCCGATACCTGCGACGTCACTTGCAATCGACACAAATCGTGCGTGTTGCCAATGGAGACAAGACGCTGTGGTGATTAAACGATTACAACTAATTTAGTACCATAACCTACAGGGTCCTGCAAGAAAAAGACAAGACCCGCAAATCCGTGGCCACAGAACAGCAGAATATGAACGCAATGCACAAAGTCTCTTGTTAAGCATTTTCCTCCTGTAGAAAAATATAAACACTTAATATGGCTTAATGTATTAAGATGCTATTAAAATATCAAATTCAATATACAGTAATATATATATAAATTTTCCTCCCACACCGCAAAACGTGGCATAATGGACTAAGATGATAAAGACCAAACTCAATGCTCTTCATTATTAAAATATAGCCTACATAACTAATATACAGGCAAGCAGGTGAGATATAGCCTACATAACTAATATAACTAATATCAGGTGAGCCCAGAATAAACACAACATGCAAAGTTTCGCGTTAAGCGTTTTTCCATATGGTCCATATGGACTACAGCTCTTTTATATCATTGTCTTTGTCCATTAAGCTACATTACGTGTTTTATTTATAATGATTTTCTATAGGAGGAAAATGTTTAACGTGCAATTTAACGCATTGCGTTCTGGGCT